TTCTAAACTTATGTATAACTCGCTCGTCATCGACGGGCATTTTGTTTCACTGCTCATGCGTGCGCCCACATAGTAATGAGTAAATGTTATTGAGACCACATGACTCACTATTTCTACAAGCTCGTCTAGTTTCGTTAGTGTCACTTTCTATGAAAGCCAACACCATGTGGTGCATGTGAATCGGTTGCTCACTTGATCGTTGAAACTTATAAAAGATGGCAAATGTGATGTTCACGTGGCAGAATGTTTGAGCATTGGATTTTCTTTTAGAATCCCTACTTCCGTGGCTAAGATAGAGATTTTCAGAATTTGTAGGCTGTTTTGCATTTAGAACTTTGAATTAGATGATTTTTACGACTAGACTATATTGCCATCCATCTAATGTTCTAAAACTATGTAGGAACGACATAAGGCTTATGTTTTAGTTACCGTGAAGAACGACCGAGCTCAAATAGCGGTCCCGCCCACACGCCGAATTATGCCAATCAACTGCAAACCAATGCCATGCAGGCCAATCTCTACAGTACTATTAATAGCATGCGGTAAGCTAGTCATTACATTGCATAGATTATCACTTTTTAGAGGTTAGATAAAATCATCGATGATTCATGTACGTTTCCAGGTTACAACAACAACACCATGCTCCTCCAAACGCTGGCAAATCTCCAGGAGCAGTTGCCCTTGCCGCCGTACAAGCTGCAGCTGCTGCGCGATCACCTATGGATCCACTAAGGCATGGAGCCTACCATGCACAAGTGATGTACAAGAATCTTGTTCCTCAAGTGCCACAAACACCTCTTATACCTCGTCCTACGGTCACTGCGTCTCCTCATGTTAGTTTTGGTGTTTGAGCAATAGAAATGTTTCAGTTAATGTTTCATTGTTAGGTAGTAAATCGATACTCTTCTCAAAATGGAGTCAAGCAGTCATCTAGTCCAACTATTGTAAGGGTAAGTTCTGTCAGCAGTCTCTCACCTTGCTCAGTATTGCATTTTATTAAGGCCCAAACAGCGTCGCAGTATGTAATGCCCCAAGTTTCATCTCCGAGTCGTTTGGCTGCTACGTCGCATGGCTCTTACCATCTTCAAGCTCCTCGTAAGTTTCATGACTTTTTTTGTTCATTATTATCAAAGCTGTAATCGATCCCCTGCGTTGTGGCAATTTACGTTTCTCTTTCTTTACCTGTTTTATCTTAGTTTTTCCTTTCGAAGTCATCGAAGGGAGAGTGTGGTGGAACCTAACAAACTGTAAAAAATTGTTCGACTCATGCGTTTAATTTTTTAAACTATCATTTCGAATTAGTTCAATTTTTCAAACTATCCCCATATCTCCATTTTAGCGGTATCCAATGTAATACCTGGTTCTCCCGGACCTCCGGCCCAGATACAGCAAATCATATCAACGCCATCACCTCGTCCTAGTATACTGCGAAAGAGGGGAGATGGATCAGGTACTCCAGTGGCAGCAAAGCGTAGACTTCCATTTATGGACGAAACGCCAAGTTCACCAAGCAGCTCATCACAATCTGTCGTGCCGCCGTATAACGCTGGACCTACACCTCCTGCATTTGAACTGTGAGCTTTATTAAATCTCTGCTGATCTAGTGCATACACTTTTCTGTGGTCATTCATTCTCTTTGCAGGTCAAAGGAGGTGAGCACATTAATTTTTGCTGGTCCGGTTGCACTTAAGCTGTATGTGGACGATGAATGTCAACAATTTTTGATTTTTACGGAAGTATACCATTTAATATCTTGTCAACTTTTTCAAACTTTAGAGTGTGAACGGTACTCCAGAAGAAAGCCCAAGAAAAAGGATGAGGAAACAACAGTTTGAAACAGATGCTACACCAGAACAGATAAAGGTGCGTTTTATATTGGATTCTCTTCTCCAATAACGGGGACTCAAAATTGCTACTAATCCCTGGTTTAATGTCCAAACGCTTTTCTTTCTTGTTGTCGTGGTATCGCGGTTCAAAGTTTGAGTGGTGGCTCATGTTAGCCATGAAGTTGTTTTCTTGACTGAATTCGACATTTATAGGTTTCGTTTAGTCATAAAAGCATCACAATTTGTTTCCACATCTCATAACACAGAGTAACGATCTTTTCATTAAGATGGCGATCAATGTGATGCAGCCCATTGCTGGTGGGTCAGGGGCTTGGAGATTTACTGGACATCCTGGATTTATGTAAGTGGATTCATACCGGCATAGTTTGAAGGGAAATCCTTATTTTTTCCTCTTGATTCAAGGCTCTAAGTGATTGAAATTATGCTTACGATTTGGATCCTTTATTATGTATATGCATTTCCTTGAATAAACCAAACACTCACAGCTGCCAGCATGGCAGTATTGCAACTTCTGACTTCTATAGTCACGGCGCGAAATCATCATATATCTCAACAGCTGCAATTATTGATTTTGTATCATAGGCGTCGCGTGCGCCGCGACCGTACCCGCAATGACCTTTAGCTTTTTCGAAAACGACTATATTATATACTAACTCCCTATTCGCATCTTTTTTTTTTTTTTCGAGTCTGCCTTACAGGTAGAAAGAGCAAAAACCCACTAATCTCGAAGGTTTTTTTTCAAACTCTGTACTTTCTAGTGCACCGGGAATTGTGGAGAAGAAGAAACGTGGAAGGCCTCGCACAAATTCTCGCCCAGCAACAGGTAAATATCATGCCACAAGAACATCAACGATTCGACAATTTATAACTTTTTGAACGTCTCTATTAGGCTTTTCAAACATCATCAAGGGCCAAAGTATATGCGTTGATCTTTTTCCAGCCCTACCATTGGAACTGCACCAACGTGTTAGCGTGTTTGTGGATATTGATAGCCCAGAAGAGAAAAGTAAACCAGTAGTGGCTTCCGGTAGGCATTTGATCGTTCCATGCATCTTCTTCATAGATATCCACCTGTATTTTTGAAGCTGGTACGAATTTGAAGAACCTTCAAGTTCTTTTAGAGTCGGCTCGAGGTTCTGCTGCGAGTGTACCTCCAGTTCATATCGATCTTCCCAAATCTAAATCAGAAGTGGTATGTTATCTAAGTTTTCTCTCATTTTGAAAAGTATGGCGAATTTCATGTCGTGAGATATCATCTTATTGAGAAGGAAGAATCAAGAAATGTGGATGATGGCAAAGCAGACAGTTGTGAACGACACGATACATCAGATGAGGAAAGTTCCACACCTAAGCCATTACAAAGAAAGAAAAACAAGGTGATAAAGTCGCCGAAGAGTACTAGAGCGTCATGGCGGCAGAGGTCTACACGCGTGAGTTTTGCTTAGCTGTATTTGATAGTAGCAGCAAACACTGTTGATCAGTATGATTTTTCACAACGAATTACTTCTTTGCGTGTCGTTTTCTTTTGCCATAACAACATTTGGTAGATCTTTCAATATTTAGTTCCCAATTTTTATGTCTTTATCATAACGTAAACTCGTAAGTTACCCTCCCAAAGTTTTTAGTTTTGCCTATTCTCCCCCTTTTGACGTGCTTTGTTCTAGAGTACGGATGTGTTGTCAAAAAGCAGTTTATCGGTTGAGGAACAACAAGCTGAAGATGTGGCAGGGTTCTTGGCAGATTGTTTGGAGGAGAACAAAAAGGAGCAGCGTATCAGGCAGCGAATACGAGAATTGGATCCTGTGCCATCTGGATCAAAAACATTTTTTGATATGGTTTGTGGCTCAACTGTTTTGCATGCTTTTTGTTTTTTCCTAATAGGTGGAAGTTTAGGTTCCTCGAAAC